TGAATGTGTTCAGAAGTGTTCAGGGTGAAGCTCCAGCTCTTTTTTGATCCTGTTCTCCACCAAAAGACTGATGTTGGAGTCTGTCATTGGAAGACTGTAACTCACATATACTTGCTTTTGGGTCTTCTTTGCTGCAAAACAGAACAGAAAATTATTTCACTTTTAGTTCACGTAATACTCTTAATGGTTAGCTATGGTACACAATTACACTGAAGTCATTGGTCTTGGAAGTTTTTTTTTTAACCTTGTTAGTGTATTTTGCATGTTTTTAACATTTTAGGGCTTTATTGTCTTTAATACAGAGCAGCTGGAGAGTGACAGGACAGGGGACAGAGAGGGGGAATAACAGGCAGCAAAGGGACATTGGTTCGAATCAAACCTGAGCCACAATCTATTACCCAGCCTACATGGGGCGCACACTCTACTAAATGTCATTTCTGTTTTTGCAGGTTTTTATCCAAGTCCTTCTGAACCAGAGGGTCTGGGGGCCCTTGAGAAAGTTCTAGAGGGTCCCCAGAAAAATTGGGAATAGTTTATTTTTACTATTTAATTCAGTGTAGAAGTGAGCTCAATGTGTGTGAGTCATAACAGTGACGACTCTAATTAAAGGGTTCCCCATAGTCGACAACTATGGAAATCTGGTTTTAATCAAATCTAACAACCAAGTTTTATCAGATGGAGGGCCCTGAAGTCTTATCACATGGGGGCCGTGCCCTGATGTGTATCATCATTTTTTTGACATGAAAAAGGTTGAGAATCACTGTTTTATAATATTTATGTCTATTTTTAAATTCCAACCATTCTCTGAAGCATATGTATTTCCCCCGCAATGTGAAGAAGCCATTGTTTTTAATTACATTTGGGGTTGTATAAATATCAACATGTTAAGTATTGTAACTCACCTGACATATGTAACATCTCATGGTGGACATTATCATCACTTATCTTTATCAATCCTGTATAATAGCTTTGTCGCTATACAATATCAGTGATGGAATCTAACTAGGTGCATTTACTCAAGTACTGTAGTTAAGTACAGTTTGGACACACTTGCTTATAATATTTATTTGACAATTACTTTTTACATAAAACACACATGATAAGCTTAAATGATATAATGCAGTACTGTACTGATAATCCAACAAGTTGTACCCAAAGTATCCAAAAATGGCTCCATACTGGGCAACTACAACATTAAAAGCTCTTACATGCATATGCTAGTGATGAACATAGAATAATAAAATATTCTGTGATAATATAACACTTTGAAAAAAGCCATTCCCCATAATGACTACTTTCTCTATTGATTTACCGTGAGTACATTTTGCTAATAACAGATCTGTACTTTCACTTAAGAAACATTTTAATTTCAGGACTTCTACTTGTAATGGGATGTCTTTAGAACACAGTATTTAGCATAGTATTTAACATAGTATATTTACAGTACAGTATATTACAGTATATTTATATAAGTGAAGGGTGTGAGTACTTCTTCACCCACTGCATAGTAGAACATTTTTGAATCAATCTACAATTGAAACTGCCATAGCACACACTCTGACAACGATTTAGAGAACTGTTAGCAGTAAAGTTGATTAGTGGTTTCTAGCAAATGGGCTAAAAGTGGGGATGCATGATAATACTGGCACGTCATCAGAATCGACCAACATGCTTTTTCTTGCTGTGCACAATGAATGAATACTACACACATTGAAAAGCATATGTCTCCATCTGTTGGTGGGCTGTTAGGATAAGATTATGCATGCATAATATGATGTTAATTCCACTATATACGAGACTTGATGATCACTAAAATTAGGTAGGGAAAAAAGTATATATATCCATTCCGGTATCGGCCAAATAAGTGGTTACTGGCATATCGGACATCGGCAAAACATCTATCATCGCGCATCCCTAGCTCAAACATATAAAAACATCTTTGATATCCACAAAGAAACAACCACCTGACAGCTGAAAAAGTATTTCAGCTTTTTTATAACTTACTATAACTTAATACATCAACCAATCAATCAATTTTATTTATAAAGCCCAGTATCACAAATCACAATTTGCCTCAGAGGTACGGCATACATTTTAGGACATCCTCAGGTGTCAGGTTTCAGCGTCGGACCTTAGATGAAAAGGCATAAGGTCTCAGAAAAACCTCTGTCAGACGTCACACTAAACGGCCTCAGAAAAAAAGTCATCGGACCAAAAGGCGTCAGAAAAAAAGTCGTCAGACTAAATGGCCTCGGAAAAAAAGTCATCGGACCAAAAGGCATCAGAAAAAAAAGACGTCAGACCAAAAGGCCTCAGAAAAAAAGACATAAGACCAAAAGGCATCAGAAAAAAAGTCATCAGACCAAAAGGCATCAGAAAAAAAGTCGTCAGACCAAAAGGCATCAGAAAAAAAGTCGTCAGACTAAACAGGCTCAGAAAAATCAGGGTTTTTTTTCACTTTTTTTCTGAGGCCGTTTAGTCTGACGACTTTTTTTCTGAGGCCGTTTTGTCTGACGACTTTTTTTCTGATGCCTTTTGGTCTGACGTCTTTTTTTCTGATGCCTTTTGGTCTGATGACTTTTTTTCTGAGGCCGTTTAGTGTGATGTCTGATAGAGGTTTTCCTGAGACCTTATGCCTTTTCATCTAAGGTCTGATGCTGAAGCCTGACACCAGAGGGCTTTACAGCCCCCCCCCCCCCCCCCCCCCCCCCCCCCCCCCCCAAAACCTTTAACGGGGAAAAAAATGGTACATTAGCAGCAATAATGAGACATGTAAATTAATGCAAAGTCATACATCATTACCTAATCTCTGTGCCAAGGAATTAGGAGCAGTATTGGATGGGTCCCCCATGATTAATGTAGATAAAGGCATTGAATCCTGCAGACAGAAAAAACAATTAGTACAACAGTGTTTTGTCTCTCAGGAAGGACAAAAATCTTTAGCTCTCTGACATCACAACATCCAATGACATCAAATGTGTTCCTCTCTTAATATGTTTGTCAGCCCATGTGTTTCCGAAATGTTTTCAAACTAAGGTTAATGAATCCCAAAAGCCTTTTCAAAAAGCTTTTCTTCCAGTGACTCCTGGTTGAGGATGGCTGGGTTGTCTCTAGGGTTTTTGGTGTAGTGGGGGGATGTCAAGGAAAACATGTGGGCTACTGCACTTTGGGCAGAAGATTTATTATATTTTGCCAGAAGATTTATTATATTTTGCCTGCTAAGGACCCATTAACCAACCAGTGCTGCAATAATACTTTATCATACAGACATTAATATTAGATTATGAGCCAGGTCCCCACTATACAACAGAGCCTCAAGACAACATAGCAGACAACATAGCAGTGCCCTCCTGTTAAAGGGGTCAACACATCAAGACCACAAAACATGTTGAATGCCATGAATGCTAGAAGTGAGAAATATAGTATGAAATATCAATTAAGAGTTGATAGATAAAATAATCAGACAGGAATGTTTTGTTGTTGTTTTTTTGTTTCTTTGTTTGTTTTGATAATCCATTAGGGCAGATTTAAGTACTCCATTACACTGATGCAGAATTCATATAAAAAAGAATCAGCTCCACTTTTTGATTTACAACACTGCCCACAATGGCCCAGAAATATACTTGACAGAATTGAGATAAATGCTTCAATGTTCAGTACAGAAAAGATCACAGTTTCAAATCATCGCCCATCCCTAATGATTACAGATAGATTTGTTTATAATATGCAAAGTTTTGACATATCCCTCACTTAACCTTCTGTCATTACCACAATAAAACCTAAAAACATTAAAAAAAAAAACTGCAGGAAATCAAAAACTGTCCCAGCTGCTCACAAAAATCCCCACAACTATCTGTGGATGTAGACCTCCATGAAACGTTTGCAGTGCTGAATAGGAGGAGGAGTTTTAAGTGTGCAAATATCTTAATTCGTAAAGTAACACTTAAGCTTACTAAAGCTGTTAAATAAATGTAATGTAACATAGTGGAGTAAAGAGTAGGCTGCAATATCCCCAAGAGATATAATGTTAACTAGTAAAAGAAAAAGGTTCATTAAAAAAAACTACTCAAGTACCTCAAAATTATAACGTTACTTAAACACAATGCTAGGGTAATTTTACTTGATAACATCCCACCACTGTTCATTTAGTTGTGTTTACTCACATATTTGCTGCTCATTGACACCGCCATGTTGGACAGGACCGGACTCGAACCGACCCACAGGAAGAACCCGCCGCTCAGCTTCATCACGTGAAAGTGTATGACCTGCTCCAAAATCCTCTCCGAGAAATTATGCACCGTGATGGCGTTGGAGACCGCACCGTTTTGTGTTTCGTTCATATTTCTTTGATTTAACTCCAGCTAGCTGTAACTGGCAAACACTGGAACTCGTGCTAGCTACAAACAGAAACAGTTGCCACTTCCTGGTTATGAGTAAACTGGCAGACCAAAGCAATCGATCATGAGTGTTCAGACGTGCAGCACCAGCACAACCGATCTGCACTATACTTAATCTCAGTGACGAAAGAATACTCAAAGTAAAAAGTTTTGCATTCAAAATCTACTTACAGTTCTAAAAGTAAAAGTATTTATGATGCAGAATGGACCCTTACACAATAATATCTATTATATTGTTGGATTATAATTATCGATGCATTCATGTCTTCAGATGGAGCTCATTTTAATTACATCAAATACTGCTGGCCTGCTTAATCGATAACAATAAATCAAAGTGTATTAGTTGATTTATGTTTTGTATCATTAATCTGAATCTTCAAAGCAACAAGTAACTAATGTTATCAAATAAATATAGCAGAGTGAAAGCTACAATATTTGCCTCTGAAATGCAGTGGAGAAGTATATAAGAGCAGGGAATGGAAATTCTCAAGTAAAGTACAAGTACCTCTAAACTGATAATAAGGACAGCGCTTGAGTAAATGTACATTCAACCATTGTTTACTTAGTAAACTGAACCTTAAATATAACTCAACATAAGGTAACTTAAGTTGTAAGAAATAATTTTATTAATGCTGATAAATCATTTTCAATTTGAAATCATTAACAGTCTTGTAATCACCAAAGTCTGCAGCTCATGTTAGTGCCTTTTCATCCCTTATTTTAAGATGCTTTGTGAGTGACAAAATTAAAAACTACTCTTAGTGACATTTAACAATATTGCAACCTCAGTTTTGTGGTGTTACAATGATCGATGTGGTTATATAGCTTTGCATTAGTGTTTGTTTTTGTGAGCAGCAGTGAGCAGCTGCAGACATTTTACTTTTACTTGATTGGAACTGTGTTTCATACGACCTTAGCAGCTGCCTATTTAAAGTTATGTAACTGTAATGTCAGACTCATTAGCCCCCAGTTATAGAAAATGCTACTGACTTACATAACATGACAAAATAATTCACCTTCCTGCTTCATAAAATTTTCAATTGTAGAAAAAAATAATATTGAAAATTTAATGCAAAATATTCAACAATTGATGCCTCGTGAAAACAGTGTAGAAATAAAATAATCAATACCATTCAATAAAATCAACCAAATTAAGTCTTTGGTGTAAATAGCCAAATCAGTTGTTATTTCACAGTGTTAATTAATTGCTCAGTCTTCCAGAAAGTCTTCCACTAGTTTGTTGAACTCTTCAGCGTACCTCAGGTGGAGATTGTGTTTACCCTCCGGCATCAGGTGTAACCTAGATTTGGGACAAAAAAAAAATCATATCGCATGTTTCCTTTCCTAAATTTAAGGTATTTGAAGTGTTGCCATGTAAATGTCTGCGCAAGTGTGTGTCTGATGTCATCTCACTGGGATCTCTTGATGTGTTTGAGGAGGTACTGTGGGTGGATGCTGGGCACCATGGGGTCTTTCTCTCCATGAATGACAAGGGTTGGACAGGTGATTTGGGGCAGAAGCTCCAGGCAGATGCTTCCTGATCAGAGGACATTTAAGTTAATATTTTGGCATCAGTCTTTACAACTGGCATTTATTAGAACATAACAAAATCTATAAGTGTCTCAAATTTATTCTCCACATATTTGTTGTGGAGGAAATAGCATTATGAATGCAAAGCATTTACTTTTTTTAATTATTTCTGATGGTTTTCAGTTTCAACTTCACTTGTGTAATGAGCCTGTTACAAAATGAAGTCAGCACCTTCGGGGTTTTTTGCATACTGTGCGATCCCATCCACCCAGGCCTCCCAGGTTTTAGCAAAGACTTCTGCTCCATACACCTCCTCCATGGGCTGCCTCATCCTAGCACTCCACCTGGAGACATCACGGACCGCTGTGCGTTCCCAAAGACACCCATGCACACACGAGTGCACACAGTTAAGAAAGATTTCATGCACAGTTGACACAGTTTGGGACTACACTGGCAGTTACCAAAGACAATGAAAAGTAGAGTAGGAGTACCATCGTAAAGCTTGAGGTCCTGATGGGACACAAAGGCATTGGTTCCCCATACAACCATCTTGTTAATCACGTCCGGGTTCCTTGCTGCTGCAATCAGAGCGGTGATTCCTCCATCACTCCACCCCAGCAGAGAGAACTTTCCAAACCCCAGTGCCTGCCAATAAAATGAAAAAAAAAATACTGCACATCACTAACAAAGTTTCTATTGCCTCCTCTATGATGGCCTCATATGCATAACATAATGAACATACTGAGGTGAACTGGCTACCATTCTTGTCATTGCAAAAAAAAAAATCTCATCATAGAACATATTTTCAAGAAATTAAATGACATCATTTGTGGTAAATTACAGAAAACGATGAAAAATACTGATGTGAACAAGATTGTGTATGACTTGCTAAACTAAGAGCATGGATTAATAAACTGTGTGTTCAATTTAGCAATTGGATGAATCATCTGTGTAAAAATTGGTAAGAATGCTATAACAAGCTTCCTGTATGCGGCACATAATGACGTGACGTGACAATCAGCTACTCAGAGCAGAGCACACATTAGACACCATTCAAGGTCATATTTGAAAGAAGACCAGAGGAGCTATTCTGAGGTATAATTTGTGGTTTTACGTTAGAAAAAGATTTGTGCAGCAGAAAAATGCTTTGACTTGCTAATTTTTAGTCTATTAAGTGCATCATAGATGATATTATAGTGTTTTCACTATTATTCTGAAACCATTTATTAGTTTGCACTTCCTTTTAGCTGGTTTGACAATTGACTACAACATTACTGTTTTGTTTATTGTTTATTTACTTTATTAATCCCCCTGAGGGGAAATTCAATGTTTTCACTCTTGCTTGTCAATTACACACGCTTGTCAATTGTGTGTCCGAAAGACACACACATGCACAAACAGGACCAGGACATGCACAAAGTGGAGAGATGTCAGAGTGAGGGGGCTACCCTTGGTGAGGCGCCCCGAGCGGTTGCGGGGTTCAATGCCTTGCTCAAGGGCACCTCGGCAGTGCCCAGGAGGTGAACTGGCACCTCTCCAGCCACCAGTCCACGCTCCATATTTGGTCCGGACGGGGACTCGAACAGGCAACCCTCCGGTTCCCAACCCAAGTCCCTATGGACTGAGCTACTGCTGCTTTACTTTACCCTACTTTAAAAAAAAATTGTTTTCACACAATTATAATTCCCCACTTTTATTGTTTAACACCTTGCTTCAAAGTTTCCTTTGTGCTTTACTGGACACTAAACTGCACTACTATTTGTCAATCCATGCTCTCAGGTTTGCACACCCATGTTCCCTTCTTATCCACCCTTGCTTGATCAACAGACTGATGAGACCTTCATCAGATCCACTGCATCCTTTGCATCTCTCTCAAAGAAGTCAGGGGGGAAGTCTCTGTCTGGAGGACGGGATTGTCCATAACCGCGAGGATCCAAGCCCACTATGGTGAAACGTTCCTTATTCAGAGACTTCAGCTGGGGTCCAAAATCAGTCCGCGTGCTCCCTGTGGTATATGAGACAAAAGCAGTTTTCACAAGCTCAGAGGATGTACACCTAAACTACATAAGGCAGTCTGAGAGAGATCTATCCAGAAAGTCTAAAAAGGGATGTGTTGTTGTATTTACCCAGAGCACCAGGAATCAACAACACAGCGTGGTTCCCGCTGCCTGTCTGCTCGTAGAACAGATCCACTCCATTAACATGCTGCTTGCCTGAGGCCACTGAGGAGCTGCAGGGAAACAGACAGGTAGACTGAGGCAGTAATGGACATGGTGATGGATAAGAATAGAACAGCTCTGACTAGTAAAAAACACTGGCTTCATTTGACAGTCACAACAACACCCAATTATTTCTTACAATAACACAAATCATGTTGTAAGAAAATAACAATGTATCTTTATTGTGTTTTGCTGGCTGACAAAAAGGTTAACCTGTTGTCATGACTTGAGCTCAACACCATGTTCTCCCTATAACCCTCAGTAACAGCTCCTGCTTTAAACATTATTGTAATTTTGACTAATTCTTCTTGATGTATGACATTGTTGTGCTATTCATCTGTGTAGTAGGTTGTGCATAATTACAGCTGTGTTCCCTTGGTCTCCTGTAAATGTGATCGTATTTAGTCCTTTGTTTCACAGTTTGCTCCCCCAGGTCACTGTGATCTGCTGTTAAACATGACTCATGCTATGAGGAGGGCCTCTGACCTGAACATGTCAGCAAGATGCTTTAATAAAACATGAAGCTGCACTGATGATGACTGCTTTGCTTTGATGCACAGAAACTACAAAAAAAGGGACAGGAAAATGCCTCAGTTCAGGAGAAGTCTTGTGAACTTTTAAAACTTTTGTGTCAAAATGTGTTGACACATCTTCATCTTCATCAACATTGTTAAACAACAGCTATATACAAATGACATGTCCAATCTTATTTTAGATCACGGAAAATGCTGAATAGTAATTACAGTAGACATTTGTAAGAAATGTGGGATTTTTTTTGTTTTTTGTTTTTTTTATAGATATGTTTTTGGCCACTTTTCTTACATTTCTGAAACTTTACAAGGTGTGATGACTTGGAGATTTACCTAATAGTAGAGTGGATGTTGGCATATGGTTTCAGGCTCAGTAGTCATATTCACATGACCATAAATATTTCGATTTTACAGATTTTTTTTTTTAAGGCTTTTAATTTTTGTTTTAATATTAAATATGCAATCCTACTGCATGGATGCTAAACAAAAGATATCATGACATACTGAAAGCTCCAACTAAAATACTACTACTACCCTAATCCATAATGTTAATAATAAATACTGCCATAAATGTTAAGTGATACAGCGGGACGTCTGGTGTATTTCCTTACAGATTGTGATAAATCAGCATTGTTATTTCGAGCATACTTAAGACCTGTATGGTGCCCTGCTTTGCTCTACTACGCCATCTAGTGGCTTTAAATCGAACAAACCTCCACAGAAATTCTACTACAGGGACAAACATGTTGCTACAAGCAGGCCACACACTTCCTGTTCGCTCAATGCAGCCCTTTGTGGTTAAAGTCCAGATTTCAGTGTACATAAAAACATGCACATATCAAACAGAGAGCGGTTACCAGTAGGGATGGATCGCTGTCATGACTCTCTTTACGCCAGATCTGCATTTAAAGAAACGTCCTCCGAGTACAAACAGCGCCATTCCTCAGTGTCCGACCAGGCGGAGCAGCTCTGCTGCTTTCTGATATGTGGTTGAAGATTAAACTTAGTCTCTGTCTGACTGCAGATCATGTAACCCTGCACTGTCTGGTTGTTTTTTTTTTGGAGAAGCCAGGAAGTTGTGCTCAGTTTGGCACTTTCCACGTCGTTTTTATTTACAAAGAAAAAAAAATTAAAGCGAAAGTACGACAACGAACCGAAAGGCAACATTCACGTGAGGGATATTATTTTAGATACACTTGGAAATATTCTAGTGCACTAATATTTACAGGTGCCTGTATTTCCTAACGTTTTCAGAGGAATTTTCCTCCACAGACTTAAGTCATGTGGAACAGGGGAAAATAGAGACAATGAACTACAGTGAATTTAGGCAGGTGTTTTCCAGAAGAGTTTCCACTTAGGTAAAGTTCCATATAAACACATCAAAATATTTATTCACTTTTGATTTTCTATTGGAAACTTAGTTCTGCATATAATTTGAGGTGTTTGTTTGCCTGTACAAAGTTCACATTTTTGCATTTTTTCTGATGACCTGCTGCACCCTAGCAGACCCCTCCTGGTGAGACTAGAAAATAACTGAAATCAATTTATTGGAAATGAACCAACAGGATTATTAGTATATCAAACTAGTCCTTTCCAGAAAACCTCATATGACCACACTTACAGTATTAACAGCATTTATCTTTCTTAGCCTTTCCAGGAAATCAGGAAATAAAATTTGACTTTATATGGTTGATGCATTCACAGACAAAGAAATGTACAGTATTGTTATTTCCTACATAGTGACACTGGTATTTGGGGTCGAACTCCATTTTAGACCTCTTACAAACAAACTGATAAAACTAGAATAACAAAAATCAAAGAACACTTGATAGAGCACGTAAAAACGAGGGAACCTTATTAGGTTTACAGGTATTCAGTCATAAATCAAAGTATTGGACAAGTTCAAATTTTTACCAAGTCAGAGTTATTACAGTTCATCCTGAGGGAACATAAATGTCTGAACTAAATCAAATCAAATTTCACGATAATCCAATGGTAAACGAGATATTTCAGAACAAACTACAAATGTGAACCTGTGAGCACCAGAGGAAAAGTCAGGGGATCACTGAAGTCAGTAGGATTCATCTTCTGAGGACCATGAATGTCTGTACAAAATGTGTGCCAGTCAGTTTTGTCGATGTTGAGCTATTTTACTGGATAAGTGAAAACTTGATAAGTCAGGGAAACATCAGTAGGCATCACCCCCGAAGACCATGAATACTTGTGCTATACTTTATGGCCATCTTATCAATAGTTGTTGCGATATTTAAATAAAGAACAAAAATGTCAATCTCATGGCGGCACTAAAGAAAAAGTCATAAGCTCCTCAACATCAGTGGGATTCATCCTCTGGGCACCATGAATATCTGTACAAAAACTCACAGCTATCAAACAGCTGTTGAGACATTCAGTCTAGACCAAAGTGGTGGACTGACCAACTGTCAGACATTTCCAAAACACCAAAGGTTGTCTGGTTCCAGATTCTCCAATGTGAAGATCTCATTTTCTTTGTTCTATGTCTCTGTAAACAGTAATATTATTTTTGTCAATTCAAAGACATCACTTTGGGCTCTGGTAAATTGCAGAGGGCATTTTTCATTATTTTCCGGTGCATAATAGACTATCAAATTACTCTGTAAATTGAGAAAATAACTCCCATAGTAATCAGCAATAAAAATGATTGTTAGTTGTAGTCTTGAATGAACGTCTGTAATGGCTTTACGGTGTGGTATTGTTTTGTTGTAGCAGATGTGTGGATTATCTGCTGCATGCAACAAACAAACTGGCATCAAACTCGAAAGTAACTCTAGAGGTTATGTCTCCTCTTCTTCTTTTAAAGACCGATTTAATCATACACGTATCTCACATCCTTTATTGTCTATGCAACACAGCTCCCACCCCTCCCCCCACACACAAACACACACCTACACACACAGTGATGCTGTTACGGGGGTGTTTTTTATATACCATTGTGTCTAATGTGTGATGTGTCTGTTTATGAATGGGTATGACCCGCCGCTAGCTAGATGAGCTGTTCAGACCTGATTCTCTGAGGCAGGCAGCTTTTTGTAAACGCCTCCACTCTCCTCTGCCTGTCAGTGCGTCTGAGCTGTGTGCCACACACTGAACCACACACAGGAACAACACAAAGACGACAAAAGCTGGGCTAAAAATACCTTGATCGCTGCAGAGCAATGCGTTGAAGATGTAGCGGTGTTTACTGGAAATGAAGTGACTAAAGTAGATTGATGTCCACTGAGAATTAACACATCATTTAAAATAAATGGGGGGATTCTTAGTTCTACGAAAACATTCACAAAGTTTGTGAGCAGTTCTCAAGAAATTAGAAAATTCATGAAGTATTAAGCTGATAAAATAATGTTTAATGTGATGATCTGCAGCTTTCCCCTGTTTTATATTGTAGTAAAATCGATATGTTTGACTTTTTAGCAACACTAGCAGCAATGTTAGTAAGTCAACTGGTTGGCACATCACTTCACTCCAGACTGAAATAAATGAGCTATTACTGGATGGATTAAATTTGTTTAAGACGTTTATGGCCCCCAGAGGTTAGACACTTTTGAGTCTGTTGATACCCTGACTTTTTCTTCAGCGCTAACAGCAGGATGATATTTTTGTTTTAAAGGGAAATATCATGACAACTATCGGGTTGATTGCCATGACATTTGGGTAAGACATTCATGATCCCCAGAAGATACAGTACAGGCCAAAAGTTTGGACACACCTTCTCATTCAATGCGTTTTCTTTATTTTCATGACTATTTACATTGTAGATTCTCACTGAAGGCATCAAAACTATGAATGAACACATGTGGAGTTATGTACTTAACAAAAAAAGGTGAAATAACTGAAAACATGTTTTATATTCTAGTTTCTTCAAAATAGCCACCCTTTGCTCTGATTACTGCTTTGCACACTCTTGGCATTCTCTCCATGAGCTTCAAGAGGTAGTCACCTGAAATGGTTTTCCAACAGTCTTGAAGGAGTTCCCAGAGGTGTTTAGCACTTGTTGGCCCCTTTGCCTTCACTCTGCGGTCCAGCTCACCCCAAACCATCTGGACTGGGTTCAGGTCCGGTGACTGTGGAGGCCAGGTCATCTGCCGCAGCACTCCATCACTCTCCTTCTTGGTCAAATAGCCCTTACACAGCCTGGAGGTGTGTTTGGGGTCACTGTCCTGTTGAAAAATTAATGATCGTCCAACTAAACGCAAACCGGATGGGATGGCATGTCGCTGCAGGATGCTGTGGTAGCCATGCTGGTTCAGTGTGCCTTCAATTTTGAATAAATCCCCAACAGTGTCACCAGAAAAACACCCCCACACCATCACACCTCCTCCTCCATGCTTCACAGTGGGAACCAGGCATGTGGAATCCATCCGTTCACCTTTTCTGCGTCTCACAAAGACACGGCGGTTGGAACCAAAGATCTCAAATTTGGACTCATCAGACCAAAGCACAGATTTCCACTGGTCTAATGTCCATTCCTTGTGTTTCTTGGCCCAAACAAATCTCTTCTGCTTGTTGCCTCTCCTTAGCAGTGGTTTCCTAGCAGCTATTTGACCATGAAGGCCTGATTCGCGCAGTCTCCTCTTAACAGTTGTTCTAGAGATGGGTCTGCTGCTAGAACTCTGTGTGGCATTCATCTGGTCTCTGATCTGAGCTGCTGTTAACTTGCCATTTCTGAGGCTGGTGACTCGGATGAACTTATCCTCAGAAGCAGAGGTGACTCTTGGTCTTCCTTTCCTGGGTCGGTCCTCATGTGTGCCAGTTTCGTTGTAGCGCTTGATGGTTTTTGCGACTCCACTTGGGGACACATTTAAAGTTTTTGCAATTTTCCGGACTGACTGACCTTCATTTCTTAAAGAAATGATGGCCACTCGTTTTTCTTTAGTTAGCTGATTGGTTCTTGCCATAATATGAATTTTAACAGTTGTCCAATAGGGCTGTCGGCTGTGTATTAACCTGACTTCTGCACAACACAACTGATGGTCCCAACCCCACTGATAAAGCAAGAAATTCCACTAATTAACCCTGATAAGGCACACCTGTGAAGTGGAAACCATTTCAGGTGACTACCTCTTGAAGCTCATTGAGAGAATGCCAAGAGTGTGCAAAGCAGTAATCAGAGCAAAGGGTGGCTATTTTGAAGAAACTAGAATATAAAACATGTTTTCAGTTATTTCACCTTTTTTTGTTAAGTACATAACTCCACATGTGTTCATTCATAGTTTTGATGCCTTCAGTGAGAATCTACAATGTAAATAGTCATGAAAATAAAGAAAACACATTGAATGAGAAGGTGTGTCCAAACTTTTGGCCTGTACTGTATATCTGAATGACTATGGTGACCCTTTCCTCTGGAGCCACCAGCTTGTCAAAGTTTTCTCTTTTCCATCTAATAATTTTAATTTTTCTGAGACATGGATTGGCATAAAATTGGTATAGGAATAAAAAATACCTCAATTGGCAAGATCAAGAAGTACTTCAGAGTTTACTGGAGATATACTAAACTCCAGTCCACTGACTATCGACACATAGGCCTTATTTAAAGCTGCTGAGAACATGGTCTCAAATCTTAAGTATTTCTTTATAAAATAAAATATTCATCAATAAAGATTCGACAATCAAAGTTAAAGTTTGGAAAAGAGCATGATTAGTATAGTGCTCAAAAAATCAGCTAATTTGCTTGATCTGGATGCAGTTTAATTGGCTATCGCCTGACATCATAAGCACCATTCCCACAACTATAATCATGTTTTGATATTGAAATATTGAACTTTAAATATTCCTGATTAGCATTTTTTTTTTCAACCTCTTCCCTCCCACAAAATTAAGAATGTACAAAGTCTTTTATGTGAAATAATGGAAACTCTTGGCAGGAGAGGTTTTGTTTGTGCAGGACAACATCAGTCTAACTAAGCTGTTTTAAAAAATGTTTTTCAGGGCTTTTAAGCTAAATGGGGGAATCTGTAGTTCAACAAAACTAACCTGTCATATATACCTCAAGACTGTTATCTAAACTGAGATTTATTGCAAGTGGCATGTATCATCATT